TAAAGATGATGAATCGTTTTGAAGAAGCGCTTGAATGGTATCAAAAATGATTGGTCATCAATCCACAGCATATAGATTCTTTATATGGGAAAAGTAAGTTTATAAGAATTAATCAAAGTTGAATGTTATAATCATTAATTATTAGCCTATTAATAAAATGATGAATAAATATGAATTCTAATTAACCTTACATTTTAGAATTATTAATAGTTTACAAACGAATCCTTAATCGTTGTATTATGGCAATCTATTGAATAATTGCCAATTATCACCATGAATAATGAAGAAAAGATCTCATGAATAAGTTGTTCCTCGAAAAGAGATTGACTTTGAATAAAAAAAACAATAGATAATTTTTATCTCAGAACGAACACCTAAAAATGTCTTTACTTATCTTAATTAACAACATTTATCAACAAATTAATGATTTATGATGATGAAAGAATTGTTATTGGAATTTGAATAAATTAAGGTAACATATGCAAAATCATTTTCAAAATTAGAAGATCAATAATTTCGGACTTACAATGTAGAGCTATAAATTCATATTTCTGTGAGTTAGGAGGTTTAATCTTTTCAGTAATATCTATAAAATTAATCGAAAAATGAACTCCTAAGGCTACTCCACCTTTATATTACTCAAGCCTAAGTTTTATATAAACCTATATCTAGGCGAATTTTCAATAGTTATGAGTAGTTATGCTTATAAAGTTAGACCTATTGTATAAGCTTTGATTTTTAAAGCTCAAATAGTTTTCCCTATGAACATATTACATGAATCACTTCGATTTTAACAAGCAGCATTAATAATACCAATTATATTTTTGCATTCATAGTTTCTTTAGGTGAATGTTTCTCAAATTCTTTTACCTTAGTATTACAATCAGTTTAAGTATAGCCGATGAATAAGTAGTTTTTTACATATATATCCCCTTATTGTTTATTGCAAGTGCCTCTAATTTTGGAATTGATATATTATAAACACTTACTTAAAAATTTCTTATTTTTGCACTTGCTTCGATCAATTTGCAATATAAGGGATTAAAATCTACAATATCACACAAGTATCATGAGTAGTGAATATATATCAAAAATTTATGCCAGCATTCACATATCCACATTTTGAAATTATCAGGTATTTTATAATCCTTAGCGAGCGCTTAAATTAATATATTTTAATGAGGATATTCCATCATCACCGAATGGAACTTTACAATTTCCTAATAAGACTTGGTACCTATCGTTAGGATGTTAATTTGATTTAATCTTAATATACAATTTATGAAAACTTTTATCTTGTATAGCGAAGGCTTTTTACTTCTGCAAATTACACACTTTAAGTCTCCTCTAGTATTTTTTTCTTACATGCCTCACCAGTTTAACTGAAAAATAAGCAATAATTATAATCGTTCATATTCAATCCAATTATTTATTTTTATGATTTTCCATTCCAATTTATCCCAATTTACTAAAATTTTCCATAATATTTATGCATCAAAAATAAAAATGGATTCTCTATAAATCTATTAATTATTTATATAAGCAAAGTAAAATCTTTAACAGTTTCCCAATAAGCAGCCTTTAGAGATCCTCTTTATTAGTTATTTATTATGGTATAATCAAAATAATTTTCAATTAGAACTTACTGCCTTTAAAAAGAATCTTCTTCTTAAACTATTAGAATATTATCAAAATCAGGACTTCTTTAGTAAATTAATAGAACATTCTTATCATATCTATTCTTAATTACTTCTAATAATTGATCTTTAACATCTATATCCACAAACTCTCATAGACTTTCTTCAATTCATGACTCTGGCAATTTAATGCAGGAATAATCTAAATCAGAAATAGCAATTGGCAAATTTGCTTTTTTTGTATTCCAAAAAAAAAAATATTTTTTCCTACTTACTAGAATAGAACTTACAATAATATGACTCCTCCCATTTAGATAAAACTCATGCTGTTAGGTGAGCGAGCATGAACATCGGGTATTTAATTATGTTTTCATTTCTTTATAGGAAGAATATCATGTTCCAGAAGTACTACTTCAACAGACGAAAATCATCAAACAGTTTCACTCCTCTTCACATTCTATCGTACTCATTGTCGCTTCCCAATTGAGCTAATGGAGTAATCTGACTTTTCATCTATATTTCTAGAACTAAGAAGGTTCTATAAGTCAAGAGAAGTTAATTAACTTGATATTGTCCTCATGACTTGGTCTTCTCCGATTATTTACTGAATTTATTTGATGATTCGGATTTTAAATATAATATTATATTTAATCACAAAAAATTTCAATTTTATTAGTGAATTAAAATTTTTGAACATATTAATGAAATGGCTAGATGTTGAGGGAGAATACTCTGGTGGATATTTTTAGGATAAAGTATCTAGTATCTGATCCATATTGTTAAAATTTGGAGGAGACTTTAAGTTTTTAGCTTCTCGACATGTTTAAGAGGGTTTATCCTAAGTAGTTAGATCGATTTTAAGTTTAATCGATTAATTTAGAGTTTATTTATAGGGGTGATCTTTCGGTCATGGTAATAGTCTACTACTTCCTTTAATATGTTTTTGTTAAGAGAGACTTTTATTTATGAATATCCTACTCCAGATTGATATTTTTTCAGGAAATTTACTTTTTATCAGACAGTATATGAAGTTTTTTAGGTATTTTAATACTTTAATCACTGTGGGTATCTACTTGTGAGTCATATGTTAGGATTGAAGATGATGTGTTAAATTATCTCTTAATGAAGTATACAATATATTCAAATTTAAAGAATAGGTTTTAGCTAATTCAAGGTATCAAATCCATGATTTATGGTTTACTAAAAAAATTCAATAAATCTTTTTCTTGTCCATGTTCTTATATTATTTTAAAGTTTTGGAATTGTAGTCAACAAAATAATACTCAAATCTTTTCCACGTCAAAGTATATAAATTACTAGTAGATTTGGCCTAGATGAAATCATAAAGGATAATAAAATGAAAGAACTTAAATATAAAATTCAATTTACATAGATCATCCATCAGCTTTATAAAATCCACCGAAAAAATGATCTTCTTAAAGAGATGGTGACAATATTATTATGACTTTATTAGGTTAATAATATATTTTTATAACTTGATATTTAAAAAAAACGATTAATCAAAATTATGGAACAAGATTAGTATCTTTTTTTTTTAATTAAAGATACAATACTAATAATCTAAAAGGAATTATTTAAGCATATATAGCTGAAAAGAATTTTTGATAAATGATATTCAAGTATTCAATTAACCATACAGGTTAAGAATGTTATCTAATTCTTTAAGTGAAACTTAAAAAATTTTCTTCCCGGTAGAAAAATGATTTTATAAATTAATTTTTAGGGTAGAAATATTTATATCTATTCAAATCATTTTCATTTTTTTTGCTTCAATTAAATCTTTAACCTATGTTAATGATTAATTAATTAAAATATGTAAAAAAAAAAATTTAAGCAATAATTACTACCAAAAACCACTCCATAATAAAGCAAGACCATAATTTTGATAGAAAATTTAGATTAGGTATGAATGTCTTTAGTATTTTTATTTAGTGTATTTCAGAGGATTATTTATATAGTAAATTTAAAGTGGTAGGTGAAATCCAAAGCTTGAAGATTACAAAAGATAAGATTACTCAGAAATCGAAAGGATAAGCATTTATAACCTATTCTCATCCAGATTCAGCCGAAGAAGCAAGGAAAAAATTTAACAACTAAATTTTCATCAGAAATAACATCAGAGTCAAGCCATACATCAAAAATTTTGTTAACGAAAGAGTTAACATATTCATTGACAATTTACCAAATGATGCTGATATTTTCGAATTAGAATAAGAATTTAATAGATTTGGCACTATCTTATTGGTTAATATTCATAGAGACAATTTAGGAAAATAATTAAAGTATATGATTATATTAAAAAATTAGTTATGGCTATATTCAATTTGAGAAGAAGGAAGATGCTGATAATTTGATGAAGAGAATTATGATTTACCCAATTATTTTCAAAGGAAAATAGCTGAAATTAAAATAATTCAAAGTTTAAACGGAGTAAAAAGTTGAATCCAACTCAATCTATCTGAGGAACTTTGCTGTACCTTTATAATAGAAGTATTAAGAATAGGAGAAGGTTGTCAAAGCTATTGAATATGGTTGGTTTTTGATAATTAAGGATTATTTTATAAAAAACAGAATTTAAGTGAAGAATTGTGTTGTAAAGATTGACTAAAATACAAGATAGCCTTGGACGATAATCACATTCGAAACATCAGAAATAGCAAAAATAAATTTTAATATTTGTGAATAATTAAAAACGCATCCATGTATAAATTCAAGCGCTCATCATGCATTGGAATTAATCAATACACATGGACCATCTGTCAATAATGATGGAAGTGAAAACTTCTCTATTTCAGAAATTACTTAGGTATTCAAAGAAATGGCTTAAGTTCATAATGACACCTTTAAAGGACAAAGTGAAAATTTCTTTTACAATATGGTCTAAAAAAAGTACTTAAATCCAGAAGAAAGATTAATATTAGTTGAAAACATTAAGTATGATGTCACAAAAGAGTAAATCCAAAATTTCTTATCCAGATTTGGAAACATTATTCGTCTAACATTAAGAAAGACTAAGAATCCTATGTTATAGGTTTAAGAATGTCTTGTTTTTTATTAAACTTTAGAAGATTCAAAGAGAGCAAGATCAGAGATCTTAGATGAAAAAATTGAAGAAATTTCTAAAAAAAAGAAAGAGATTTTCAAGGATGGACATGTGATAATGAATATTTTATTGTCCAAAACCAAAAGTAAGGAAATTAAAGATGACAAAAAACAAACTCAAGGCATCTAAAATTTAGGAGGAAAATAATTTCAACAAATACCTTTGGGGGGAATCATCAATATGATGCCTTCTAAATTACCTTTCCTTTAATTAATGAGAACATTTCACAAAGTGGCAAAAAATAGTTCCCTCAATTTAATGGCAACTCAATATGTAAAAAATCCATTGAAGAATAATAAATTCAAATTTTAGACCCCCATAAAGTAAGAAGTAAATTTTTGGACTTACTTCGAAATATTTTATAATTATACTGATGTCTAAAATAAAATGGAAGAATTCTTGAAGATCCCTAATGAGTTTTAAAGAAATATTCTTGGTAATCTATTGTTCTAAAAAATATTCGAATTTGTTAAAGATAAAGAGTCAACCAAAAAATTGTCGGTAATTTTATACTTTAATTATCCAGGTATGTTAATAGATCCATTATAATTTGAAGTTTGTGAAATCTTGAATTTGCTTGAAGACAGTGAAGATCTTCAGACTTACATTGATGAGGGTCTTAAATATATTTAAGAAAAAACTCAAGAATGAGGTATTATCATTGCATTTGTACAAAAAATAATATAATAATATATATTATTATTTTTTTGTTTTCATTTTGAATTATAATTAAAAGAAAATCTATTATTGAATCTTTTCAAAATATCATTTTTTCTACCTGATGCTATTTAACATAAGAAGACACTTGTTCTTATCGATATTTTAAATAAGAAATCCAATTTTCCTATTTTTTGGTACAAAATTATTAAGATTGATATTAATAATAATAATATTTTGATTTATTAATGAGTTCTATAATCAATTAAGTTGATTTCTTTATTTTTTTATTTTAAGATATTCTACATGAATAAATATCAATTATCAATATAGTTTTGTGTTTAGTTATCTTATATTTTGAAATTAATGAGTGGATTACCAACTAGCTCTGATGATTCAATGAATGAATCACTATTAGAAATAAAAAATGACCTTGAATAATTTGATCTCTGCTTGCAAGTAAATGTTTGATAGGAGATGGGATGACACTTAATTAATGAATCATAAGAAAAGTCCTCATTTAAAAATATATGATTGCTCGATACAATTTTTTTTGAATACACCATCAGAATTTGCAATTAATTTTAAGGAGTAAATTTTGTTATTAAGTTCAAATCTATTGTTGATTAGGTTGAATGAGAGATAAAGCATTATATTTAAAAATCATTTTTTAACTTAATTTAATTAAATTTAAGAGAAAATGTCTATAAATTGGATTGGTATATTTAATATTTTACAAGAATTGATTGATAGTCAATGCTTAATCACAAAGAGATAAATTAATTTCTTTAAATAAGATAGAAGAATAGTTTAGTTTAAATTAGAGTTGTGTTTGTTTTTATATATAAGCAATTTGTATTATGATAGAGAAGATATTTTTTTATTTCATATTACTAAATTGATTACATCTATTTTACATTATTCCCAAATATCAAATAATTTATTTTTTCTTGATATTAACTAACTTAATTATTTTAACAAAATAATAAATTTTGGTAATACATTTGACTGCTAGTAGATATTTACTTTATAGAGATTTATGAACACAATAGAGTCATTTGTATGTAGATGATTGATTTTAGTTGACACTAAAGAACTATTAAAAAATGGTCTTTTAATACTCAAAACAATAATAGAAAGAAAGCATAAACTTGTGATTTTACATTACACTATTGGATTACTTCAACCCAAAATTATGCCCTTTAAATAAAGAGAATTGAAGTTTCTTTTGATAAAATTATAATTGTTATTTCCCTTTAATTTGCAAACATGTAATCAATTTAGATTAATAACCCAATACTTCTTATGATCCTATTCATTTTTATGATATTTATTCTTGATTTTATAATTAAAATTCTAAACTTAACAAATTTCATACATTAAATAACAAGTTTACATTTTACTATGAATTAATCAAACTAATTTTTATAATTTTTCTAACAAATTACAATATTAGAAACATAAAAAAATCAAATAGAATATGAGGTTTATTAATACAGAATAAATCAAAATTTTGAAGTCAAACCTGATATATTATATCAATTAAAATCTAATTAATTTAATATTTCATGAAAAATAAGAATATAATCATCGGATATATTGATAGACAATAATTTAAACTAATATATTTAAATATTAGAATTAATTTATATGACACAAAATAAATTTAGCTTTGATCCACAATCAAAACTAGAAATATATTAGTTAATATTATGAAACAAAAACACAAAAATAATAGAAATATTAATAAATATAAAATCAAAGAATAAATTATTAATAATAAAAGTTTCTTAGCATTTTAGTGGTTTTTTTAATTATCTTAAAGATTTAAGCTAAGAATAAACTTATTTGATTTCCCACTCTCTATTTTATAACAATTAAATTCAGTTCCAAATCTGAAACAGGCCCAGTCATCATTTTTATAATACTATTTTGATTTTTAATATAAAAATTAAAGAAAAGTAATAGAGAAATTAATAATTTAAAAAAAAATGAATTGCACTCGCCATATTCAATTTCCAATAACATCTATATGTATTGCCCCTCACTAATGTTAATGCAAAAGAAAACTTTGCATTGATTGCCAATATGAACACGGAGTTGATATTAGATATACAGTTCCGACTCATAGATTTCAAGAAATGGTTTTAAAGTAAATAAAAGAATCTAAGATTGATCAAAATTCTGATTTCACCGAATAAAGAAAGAATTTTTTAATGATTCTCTCTCAAACTGAAAATATGCTGAAGAAAATTTGGCAACAACTATAAGAATCGATCAAAAAAATATATGATACAATTGAAACATAGGATGAATCATATTTGAAAATCATGAACACCAATTTCAATCCTACAGATTTGTCAAATACTGACTTAGAGATATTAGTATAAATTGTATAAGGAAAAACTTTAAATGAATGGAAAGCTCAGAAGGATTCTTATTTGTAGAAGTTATAAAAGATAAAGGATTGTTTGGAGAAAGAAATTAAGGCTTCTAATGGAAAATTGAAGAAAGAAATTAAAGAAAAATCATAATTAAATGAAATGAAATCTCAATCTTCTTTCAATCTTAAATAATTTACTTATTAGATAATTTAAGCTAATTCTATTAAATAACAAGAATCTTGTTGGGCAATTGCTGTTAATAAAGATTGCTCAATTGTAGCAACTGTATGTAATACTCTAATTAAAATATATGAATTCAAATAAGGAATTTTGAAATTAAATCAAATTTTAAATTAACATCAAAGTGAAGTGACTATTTTAAATTTTATGAAATAATCAAATTAATTAATTTCTGCAGATTCAGGATCTATTTTGATTTGGTCATATAATTATAATTCATGGATTTGCTCATAAATTATTAAAGGTTATAGTGATTGCTTTAGATGCATAATATTGAATAATAATGAAGATCTTTTTATATCCAGTAGTAATGATAATACTATTAAGTTTTGGGTTAAAAAGAATGAATGGACCTGTTAATAAATAATTACAGATCATAGTAGTTGTGTCCATCAACTAAGTTTAAATAAATCACAAAATCAAGTTATATCTTGTGGAAATGATAAATTGATATTAGTAATAGAGTAATAGCTACCTCAAAAAAATTGGATTGTTAAGTAAAAAATAAAAATTGATTGTTAAGGATGTCGATTATGCTTTATCAACGATAATCTATTCACATTTCAACCTATGTCTGGAAATTTGATGTATGTTTATGAGATGAGTAGTGCAAGTTAATAATTCTATAAATCAAAAGATACTATTATAAATCAAGGAAATGAAGTGTTTGTATTATTTCCATAATAATTTATTAAATAAAAATAATTACTTATGAATAAGCATGATAAATATGTACATTTAATAAGATATACCGAAAATGCTGAATTTAAAGTTGAGTAATCTATTCAATTTGGTACAAATTATTTATTTGGGTAATTGAGTGATGATGGAGAATATTTAATTACTTGGGATGAGTAATCATATCAAATATAAATAAGGAGATTTAAAGAAATATGAGATCATTATATAAAATGTAAATCTAAAATTTAATATTATCTTATTTTGTTCTTTTTTTTCTGAATTTTCTCATTCTCTATTATTATAATAATAAGACTTGAAACCTGGTTAGAGATAACTAAAATCACAAAAATCATATCAATAATAAATATTTTCAGAATATCAATTATATTTCTTTAAGCAAAAAAATTTAATTTGAAAGAAGTATTCATAAAATAGTGGAAATTAAATATCTAAATTTTTGTTATTTTATATTCCTATCATTTTTTAGCTTTTACAATTTGGTTTGAATCTCATTAATGCTCGAAAATTAATTGGTTCAGCTCCTCTATAAATAATCTTATCAATAGTCTAAATTCTAAAAAAGCAATTTTTGCATAATCATTTAGATTAAATTTCTATTATAGTTTTCTATAAAATATACATTATTGGAGTATAAAGTTTTCGATTATTAAATATTCTTCAATTAGTAAAATAATAATTACCAATTTTTATCTTTATATAAGCCTACTACATCCAATACCATTTTGCTATAGTTTAATTTTGGATTTAAAAGTAAAAAAGATCTATTATGAATTAAAAGGACATTTTAAACAATTTATTTGGTTTGATGAATTGATTACATTATTCATTTTTTAAATAAAAACAATAGTCTTGATTATTGAACTTTTCTGAGATGTCATGAGATTGGATAAATGGGTTTGACCAAATGGAAGCTTAGTAATTTACCAAACTTTAGGAACTGGATGCCCTTCAAACAAGGCTAGAAGGTCTAGGAGATTGTCAATTTGTTTATCCTTGAATAATTTCATAACAAGTTCAAGTCATAAATGATCATACAAGTTCTGCAACTTCCAAAAGATTTAAATTCTATGAATAAAACTATGGTTAGACTAAAAATGAATCAGGGTCTTCCATTCTTCTATTATGTGGGGATGAAGATTGAATTTTATTTTAGAATAGAATCCTGGCATACATTCAGAATCTGAATTTTTTCCAAAATCGCTTATGATGGTTTACATCATCTCCCTAAGATTCATAAATCAAAAGTTTCAACTAAATTTTTAATAAAATCCTACTTTAAAGTATGAGATATTAAATAAAATTACAATTAATTTGATATATAATTATGCATTTATTTTATTTTTAATAAAGGCAAATTAGAGCCTTAAATACTTAGAATATCTCTTATTTTTTAGAAAAAAAAGGAAATCTTTTATTTACCGTTCTTTGATTTATTTTTATTGTAATGAAATATCAAATATGTGATATCATCGCTTAAAATAAAAAAAAATTAAGGAAGACAATAAGATATTTTATTGGTGATACCATATTTAAGTTATAGTGATCTGATTAATCTAATGAGCTTTTATCTTTTATTAATAAGAATTGTGATAAGTTTTGATTTATATCTTTAATGAAATAGTAAAAAAATTTATCGTAATAAAGGTAATAATAATAATATTATATCTAAACATATCATCAAAAGACAGTTAGAATGAATCCTTAATTTATTATAACACTTAACTAAAGGGTTCTTTTTTTGAAGTTAAAAAGTTTATTTAAACACATATTAATGGATTTTAAACCATGGTCTAGAAATAATTAAACCTTTAAATTTAACCACTGATCTTTCTGAAACTGAAAATAGGTATCTAATAAAATTTAAATTCTCCTAATTTGAGATTTTGCATTTTTCAACTTGAAGCAATTACTAAGTCTAAATAAGGATAATTATTTGATCTGAAATAGTTTATGCTAGATGGCCCAAGATAACTAATTAATAGAATATAATTTACAAAATGATTGTTCGAAAAAGAAAGGTAGTCTTGACTATGAAATAATTCTAATCAAAACTAATACAAAATATTTGGCTATAAATGCACTCTCTGTAACTGTGATATTGTAGAGACATTAAAAAATATGAGTGTAATTTTTAAGGAATCTTGTCTGATTGTAGTAAGATTTTTGAACTTGGCAGAGAATAAGATGGCGCCTGCGGATATGGGAGATGAAAATTTATTAAGAAGATTTTATTAAACTGTACATTAAAATAATGATGAACTTTTCTGTGGTAAACTCTTTGAACGAGATATTGTTGTACATATAAAATATACTATAATGCAAATATTTATAAAAATTAGATGATAGAATTAGAATGGAATTACTATATATAAAGGGAGATTAAATGACATATAATTACATTAATTAATTTAAATAATTTAAATAAAACACATGAATATCTTAAATCAAAAATAAATACAGGAAGCATCCGAAACAATATGTAAAACTCATAATCAAGAATTGATTGCAGTTGATTTAGACCTATCAGATAAGGCATAAATTTAATTCTTTTGTGGCAAATGTTTAGTTGAGAAAATTAATAACCATAAAGTGACGACCATTGAGTAATCAAAAGAGAGAATCTAATAAATTAAGACTTAATAAAAAGAAATCAAATCTAAAGAAAATCAAGCAAGACTCAACTATTATAAAAACATTTTAGATCAAATTATGAATTTTAAATAATCAATTGATGATTCTTTGGAAAAGATGTATAAATAAATATAATAATACATATTCCCAATTTAAAAAGAAAAATCAGAATTATAAGAATTTGAATAATAACTAAATTACTTTGAAGATATAAAATAGTTATCAGAATTGTATTCTTAAGAATAATAGAAATCACCTAAATTAATAGAGGATAATCATTTTATTAATGAAATATAAAGACAATTTGAGCTTTTATTCAATAACTCTGAATACTTTTAGACATTAGATACATTTAAGAATACAAAGGAAACAATTAAAGATATTATGGAAAATAATGTAATTGAATTAATTCCTTAATTTATAACAAAAAATGATTCAGTATCTTATAGTTTATATTAATAGAAAACACCAAGTTTAAGTAGAGTTTGTAGTAATCATAAAAAAGAAATTATTATGATTGACATGGATTCTTAAGAAAAGAACATTGAAGATAGATTTGCATGCGTTGATTGCATTTCTGAGAATCCAAATACAAAGTATTAAACTATAGAAAATGTGAATAAATAATGGAAGGAATATAACACTGAAACTGAAAGGATTTTAAAGGAATATAAAAATGAAAGCAAAGAAAAAAAATCTGAATTATTTAACTAAATAGCATTAATGAGGAAAAATTACAATAAAAAATTGAATGAAATAAGTGATAAATTGATTTCAGAATAATTCTTAAGCATCGATAAAATCCAATAATCAAATTAAATAAAAAAGATTTCAATTTAAGCATTAGGTGAAGAATAATTATTGAAGGATTTAAAGTAGTTAATTGATAAGGAAAAAGAAAAAGTATCATAAAGCCAAATAATATCAAATTAAATTAATAAAGACTCAATTTTCAAGAAAGAAATTCAAAATCATTTAGAATCTTTGCAATAATATGATTAATAAGATATTTAAACATCATTGGATATACTGAAGGATATTTCAAGTATAAATTTATTAAAGTAATTATAGTTGAAAAGAGTTTAATCATTTA